AGCGAGGAGGCTCTGCTTACAGTCATGATTCCTTAATCACCTCCCATTACTACAACATGCTCTACATGGGGAAGTGCCCTTGAAGAATATTTGGAAGCTTCAGATGATGCTAAACTCAGTCACCTTGGCAGTTACGAGTGCCTGTAATTCAGCACGTGTGACACCCATGCTCAACAAGCTGTATTGATTGCCAGAATGCTTCCACCTGCAATTCAAGGTGCCAGTATTTACCTTTAAAGCCCTTCATTGCTTGGGGATAGTTATTTACAGGACTGCTATATTCAGCTTCCCATTAGAGCCAGCAGGAGAAGCATTCTTTAGATTCCATCTGTTATCATTGAGACAGAGAACAGAGAATTTTTTGTTTTTAATGCCCTCTGGAATATCATTCCCACCCCCCAGGTAGTATCTACCTGGCTGTTCTTTTGCAAAAGCCAGTTGAATACCTGTTTTACCTTTAAGCCTGGGCAAGCACATTTTTTTGTTGCATGAATCACTGTTGTGTGTGATTGGTTGGTTATTTTTCCCAACTGCTATTTATGTTATTTTATAATTCTGGTATATTTTATTATTGTGAGCTGCCCAGTAACATGTATTTGAGATGGACTGTCATGTAAATTAATCTATAAATAAATAATTGTTCCAAGATGATCAGTTGCATTTTGGAATTGGTAATGTAAAAATCAATTCATTTTTATCGATTAATAGGTTTAAAACCAAGAAATTAGTTATGCAAAATTATTTATTAGATAATACATTATAATTATGCATCAATTATGAAGTATTTTGTCCCATATATATACAATTTGATTAGACTCTTTAGCTGCATTGGAAATTCTTGAATTGTTGTTATCATGGGATAGAGCTTTGGATAATTCTAAATCTATACATTTATTTTTATAGACAATTCTTGCAATTGTACATTCCAAATTGCAAGAAATTTGGATTGAAGAGATGGAATACTGTGTATAAATAAGTCAGTAGAGTAGAGCATGTTAAATAAGTATTTCATTATCTTAAGTAAATTTCCTTTTTATTGATATGTTTATTTGAGATTTCAGAAAATGTTTAGTGAAGGTATTGGTATAAACTTCAATATAATGGAAGTGTTATATATGGAGGGGTCATTCACACATATTTTGAAAGCCTGTTCTGCAATTATCCTGCTTTCTTCTTGGCCCTCTTTTTTAAATTCAAGTGCTGCTTGAAACAAAAGTAACTTTTTAATTCCCTTTCCCAGTCTTTAAATGCATGTGTATCTGGTGTGGCAATGTGTAAGAACATTGTTAGGAGTTAGTGACATTTCTCTTCATATTAAGAAAAGACTAGAAATTTAGAATTCATTTTCAGCTAGCCTGCTTGTTTTTCATTCTTGCTTGCTGAACAAAGTAAAAAGGAAGGATATTCGTGTAGCTTCAAAGCTTCTCTTGCTGTGAAGTCTTAGACTTTGATTCCCATCTCAGAGTCATATGCAAGCCAGTCAAGGTCAAATCTTGCAACTGCTTACCATAGCAGGGCCATAAAGTCATGTCACCAGATTTTGATAAAAACTTTGGAATTGATGTTTGTGAGGAGCTTCTGCACACAACCTAGCATTAGTACTGTGGAAACTGGCTTCCAATGGGCTATTTCTGCTGTCGTTGTTAAGAAGCTCCTGACAGTTTATAAGAATATTATTTTGCTTGATATATTATGTTTTGTTTGATTGAGCTAGTAAAGCTTAAAATCTCTTTATTTACTGGAGTCTTCATTTTCTTTGGATCCAAAAGAACCAATTGCCTGGGCACCTGATCACTACCCTGACACTTAGCAAAACAGCATCCAAATCATGTTTTGATGTAACCGGTGATTTGAAGTGTTAAAGAACACCAACTAGAATTAATCAAATGAGTACAGAGTACAGAGCAACAAAGAGAACAGAGAAGAGCAACAATGATGATTAGGGGACTGGAGGCTAAAGCATATAAGGAACTGTTGCTGGAATTGGGTATGTCTAGTTTAATGAAGAGAAGGACGAGCGGGGACATGATAGCAGTGTTCCAATATCTCAGGGGCTGCCACAAAGAAGAGGGAGTCAAGCTATTTTCCAAGGCGCCTGAAGGCAGGACAAGTAGCAATGGGTGGAAACTAAGCAAGGAGAGAAGCAACCTAGAACTAAGGAGAAACTTCCTGACAGTTAGAACAATTAACCAGTGGAACAACCTGCCTCCAGAAGCAGTGAATGTTCCAACAGTAGAAGTTTTAAAGAAGAGACTGGACAGCCATTTGTCCGAGATGATATAGGGTTTCCTGCCTGAGCAGGGGGTTGGACTAGATGACCTCCAAGGTCCCTTCCAACTTTATGAAGAAGAAGAAGAAGAAGAAGAAGAAGAAGAAGAAGAAGAAGAAGAAGAAGAAGAAGAAGAAGAAGAAGAAGAAGAAGAAGAAGAAGAAGAAGAAGAAGAAGAAGAAGAAGAAGAAGAAGAAAGGCAGTAGGCGAATTAAAGAAAGGAATAAATTGTCTCTTCCCTCTCTTTTCCCTATACTTTCTATCTTTTCCCTCAGCATATGATTGACTGCTCTAATTATATTTCATGATTATATCTTCTGTCTATAGGGTTTCACCTCTAAAATTGTTACAGCTAATTGTCTCCCTAAATGGAGAGATAACTTACAATTAAATTATGTTGGAATTGTAGAACTAAACATTTCAGAAGGTGAATTATGGAATGAAGGAAGAAGAATATATTCTAGACTTTATAAATAGCAGGTAAACATTTTGAAGATAGTTGTCTCTTTTGTTTCTTCACCAGAGTATTGGTGGTGAACTTATATTATTTCAATGTGGGATGGATTTCTCAGGTTTAGTTTCAAGAGCTCAACTTTAAACACTCTTTCCCATTTCTGAAAGTGAAATGTTAGAATGATTCAGGAATGGGCTGAAACAATTTTCCCTTTCAGTTTTTTTGTTCTATTTTTTTCTAAATGTTTATTTTCTCTTTCTTTTAAGACACAGGTTGTGTGGTGTTCAAGTACTCTGGTTGCAAAAGCAGAACTAACAGCCCCTGGAAGAAATAATAATGAAAATAATAATAGATCAGCTGCCACTACAGTGTATCTGAAATTATTTTAAAAGTTACTTAGGAACTTGTCTAAAGCAGAGAAGATTGACACTAAAATTAAAGGGCAGAAGTGTAATTCTAAGAGTAATTTTTGAGACTAAAGCTGTGATTGGAGTAGATGTGTTGGCTCCTATGTAATCTTAAAAAGATTTTCCTAATTTCATGCACTGCAATTCCACCAAGTTATATTTGTTAGTTTAAAGGTCCTGGAAGAAAAGAATTACAGTAGATTGAAGAATTGGCTTTGTTGAACATTATTTATCTTTTTCTTTGTACCGTTTTCTCCATTTAAGTAAATCTGCAAAGAAAAAAAAAATGTATTTGTTGCCTTCTTTCATGTGAAACTTCCTTTGCATTAAGTCCTTTATCTGGATGCCCATCAAAGAAGCAAAGGTAAAGAACATTTTCTTTTAATGGTGATTTCTCTTATTAAGGATTTATTCCCCTAAGGCTGCTGATGTTAAAAAGTTTATTAGTTTTAAGCCCCAAGTAGCCTTTTTATTACATTTCAGTATTTCTCTGTTGATCCTATTTGAATTTATTATTTATTTTTCTTGACAGTAATCTTTATTTTTGCAGAAGGAGGAGTTGGAAATTTTCATTTATTTCAAGTAAAATAAATTATACATCAGTGAATTGGTGTGGAAGGAGTGATTAAGCACTTATCCTTAATGTGCTTTCCCTCCCTGTGCTTTCACTACTGCTGCTTCAAAAGCCACAAAAACTATCCATCCACAAATTTAACAATATGTTAATTTGTTTGGGCCAGATAGCTTGACGTTTGATTTGGGGAAGCAATTTATAGGATCTATCATGAAGTTTTTAAATACTACCACAATCTGATATCTATGAGGCAAATCCACTGTATCATTAAAAGAGGGGTAATGCAGGGTTTCTTGGTAATCTATAATATTTTTGTGTGGTTGCAAAGAATTTGTGCAGTTATCAGGACAGGGTTTGCTTTCATGAACACTATTTTCTTGTCTAGCTAGAGACCCAACCCACAGATTGTATAATCTTCCAGACAGGCTAGGCAAACAATATTGGAACATTTAATGTTTTTGCCAAGCTTTCCAGGACATTAAATTGGAATCTGCAGCATGACATTTGATTTTTTCTTATATATTAGAAGTATTATAAAATATTACATGTTTGTGTAGAACACACACATTTACAAAATTTGTTTCATTTTCTGACATAAATTATTTATATGTTGGCTTATCTCCTAAGAAAGAATGACCAGGAAAAAGCCTTTTGAATGAATTTATTATGTTCAGCGACATTTTATGAAGGGCTCTTTGACTGAAGTAGATTAATGGCAAGTATTATTCACTTGGCATCCATTTTCTATTTTATGATCAATCTTAGTGCAAGTGGCTGAATGTAAGCTACCAGCAATATTTTCCCCATTTCCTAATTTCCAGCAACCCTGCCACTGAATGATTAACAAGCAGTAATGTTGCATGGCTAGGGACAGTGGATTGTAGTTGTTATTATTTTATATTTATAGAGATAAAATGATAGTAACAGAATAACAGAATTACAGAGTTGCAAGTGACCTTGGATATCTTCTAGTCCAACCCCCTGCTCAGGCAGGAAGTGTTTACCATTTCAGACAACTGATTGTCTAATCTCTTCTTAAAAACCTCCAATGTTGGAGCACCCACAACTTAAGGAGGCAATAATTCCATAGATAAATTTTTCTAACTGACAGAATCTAGTAAAGACTAAAAATCTCTATTAAAGTCCATATTGTTGTTATGATACTTCTTGGAAGGTTTCTTTTTTTTCAGTTTAAACCACTTCTCATGACAAGTTTCTTATTACACCCAATGTTTGCAGAATTGTAATGAAGAAATAAATGTTTAACTTATTTTTTTGTTTCAATCTGTAAAACAGATAGTACAACAGAAGCACCAGCAATATCAACATCTCCAGCTATTGAAATTCGGAAGAACAGTGTAACAATGACTGAAATCACCTCAAAAATTGAAAAAATTCCCTCCACTGCCACCAGCAGTAGTGTGGGCTCCTTAGGAGAGACAGAAGAAGAAAAGGCCAAACGATTGCTTTATTGTTCACTATGCAAAGTTGCTGTCAACTCTGCCTCCCAGCTGGAGGCACACAACAGTGGTAAGATTGAGCTTTTCAGATGGCTTGCAGAAGAGAAAGCTAGAAATTCTATGAATTTATTAACAATTAAATGACAAAAATGACAAGAAAAGAAATCCATTATAAAAAGGGAAAGCAGAACCTTTTGATCCATAGAAGTAATCAGATTCCTTCTTCAAATACCAGTTTTCAATCCTGCTGAAACATTTGATTGCATGAACTGAATACTGTTTTAGAGGAAAGGAAAGCAGAATAGGGCTGGATGTATAACATTAAGCAGAATTAGAAAGAGGCACTTGGCTAAATATAAACATACATATAAACATAGATGAACACACATACACACATACAGATCTTAATCAAAATTGTTCTTTTCCATTCTTCAGGACTGACACTTTTCATCAAATGACATATCTTAGATTAATTGATTTCACAACCACATAGAAAGTACCTGTTAAGGAGGTAGTATGAACAATCTAACTAGATGTATGTCATAATGCAGAACATATATTTAAAACATAACTGAAAATCTTTAAAGGAAAAAAAATCCCTCATATTCAAACCATAGTTTCTCCTCTTCTCTTGGACTTGAGTTCTGCCAACTATTTTACCTACTACTGTTAAGCTACAATCTAATTCAGCTGATTCAGTGAAAGTGATACAACTTGCAAGCTATGATCCACTGAGTATTAGAACAATAAAATAAAACCAATATAATAAAAATGTCAATAATACAATTTAGCCTTTAAACCCACCATTTATTTTAGTCATTCAAATATTTAAGCTAATATAATATAGCTAATAACTACAAGTATTTCTTTTACTTATATATTTGAGATTATTTTATGCGGTCAACCATTTTTCATTCATCAAATTTAGACTGAATTTATTATAGCATCATTATTTTCTTTTTTTCATTTTTCAATCTTGTTATTTTTATTTTGTACATAGTTTTCAAGATGTTTATAGGCCCCCCAAATAATCCTTCTCGAATTTTCCATATTTTATGTATTCTATGTATACATTTATTTGTTAGATTTATATTCTGCCTTTTCTCCAGAAGATCAAGGAGCCATATATAGCATTCATTCCTCTGATTTTCCCTTCAGAGCATCTTATAAATTAGGTTAGATTGGGCTGAGTTTGACTGGCCAAATCCAGTGAGCTTTCTAGCTGAGGTGAACTTGTAACTGGGTCTTCTTAGTTCTAGTTTTATATTGGCATCATCTGTATTCAGTCATTAAGACACTGTATCAAACTCCTGTATTCTTCTTCAATGTTTTTAAAACTATGAGAAAATTTGCCTTTGATTTTATATTCAGCATTCAATGACAAATATGTAGCATGCATCTGAAATATAACTTTCTCTACATCACATCTTGGTTTCTTTTCCCAAAGGCATGAATTTATCAGTGCAGGTTTTGAAGCAGAAACTGTTTCAAGACAGATACTGCAGATTAATTGTTGTATTATTCAGCACCACCTTGTGTTGCCATATTTCATTTCAATGAATGGTACCATTCTATTTGGAAAGAAATTCTTGATGCATGTCTTTCATTACCTTGATACCCCCCCCTACTTGTAATATATCAATGGAAATGTTGAACATGACAAAATTAGTTAATTTGGTCCAAATCATATGAAATACCTTGTTTTAAAATTACAATTCATTTGTCATGTATACAAAACAGGTACTTTTGTGAATGGTGTTTTATAAATTTAAATGACACCAGCAGCATGTACTTAGAACACTTCTTTGTAAGTTTTATCTCATTTATATAAATAATTGTTCATATATATTAGTATTTATTTAATATTAAATTTGATTTGCAACAGTGAGCATATTAATATTGCTTTCAACTTTTAATAAAATCTATCATAGCATTTATTAAATATGTATGACCATATCTATATGGTTTTGATGTTTTTAGAATCAATATTAGATTACATTGGATTACTTTTCCTTCTCTGTGGAAAGAAAGTTGTGATTTTTTAAATGATGTTTTATTGCATGGGGTTTTTTTGCAAAGAATGAGTGATATCACATATATACACACTGTTGTTATTTCAGTAGCTTGCTCAAATTATCTGTAATCTCTGAAAATTGTTTTACTTTCATTGATTAAATAAGCTGAAAAAGAGATCTGTTTGGGATCTGGAGTTTGCAAATTGAGAAATTCCCATCAGCAGTAATCTTTATAAATATGGATATTGCTTTGGGATTCACAAGGATTTTGTGTACTTACTGCCAAACCTTTGTCAAATGTTTGTAATAATAATTATTGTTTAAATTGTCATGACAAATACTAACTTTGCATCCCCTTCTTTAAAAATGAAAAATATAAAGATATATGGAGTCCTGGGAATTTTCCTCTGTTGGAGAAACAGTGGCATGGAACGGAATAGACTTTTATTGTAAATAATTTAGTTTTTAGAAGCAATATTTTTCCTGATAATGACTTCTAGAAGTAAACCATACATTCTTTTTTAAAAGGATGACTTTGTTACTATTTAGGTTTCATTTCTCCCAATGGAATGTGGGCATTGTCAAAAAGGTGTTTTGAGATACTGCCAATTCCTTCACTAGCAGCAGGTTTTCAAAATTATTATTAATAATCCAGTTAGAATATGTGGCAGTGATTCAAACCAATGTCCGAATGATTTTATCTTTTTGCGGGAGGACATGTTTAATTGGCAGCTGGTGATCAAAATAAAGTCTTCACTTAACTTCTCACACACTTTACTAAAGACTGATGACAGCTTCTTTAGCATAAAAGTTGAGAAAAGGATAACTTGGGGCCCATTAGTTATATGTGACTTTGGGGAAATTAAAATTATATCACCAGTGTATGGAAATAAATAACTAAATTATGGAACCATAACTTCCCAGGTTTGTATATGAAATTAAAATCACTTAGATAGCATTGCTATATGGATAGACAATATTAATATGATTACAATATTAATATTGTTATAGGGTTTCCTGCCTGAGCAGGGAGTTGGACTAGATGACCTCCAAGGTCCCTTCTTTTTTATTATTATTATTATTATTATTATTATTATTATTATTATTATTATTATTATTAATCAAATCAATATGGAGAATTACATATTCTACAGATTTATGGGTACATAAAAAAATTACCTGAGATAGAATCTGAGGTATAGCTAGAACAACCTTCCCATTCTTTAAATTCCTTAAATATGAGAACTTTGTAACATTCTCAACTATGACTATAGTGCTAAACAATCCTGAAAATTAAAATCCCCACATGTTGGAGAAAGATAATCCGGAGGAAGATGAAAGATTTATTCAAATATTTTTCTAAGATTATTCTTTTATATGTTTGACATCTTTAGGCACAAAGCACAAAACTATGCTAGAAGCCCGTAATGGGAGTGGAACCATCAAAGCTTTTCCTAGGACAGGTGTCAAAGGAAAAGGACCTATCAATAAAGGAAATACAGGACTTCAGAACAAAACATTTCACTGTGAAATTTGTGATGTGCACGTGAACTCTGAAACACAACTTAAACAGGTATTAAAGTTTGGCAATGTATGCCTTTTATTGCTCCGAAGCTTTGGAAGTTCAAGGTTCTTAGGTAGGGATCAATAAAGCTGCCAATTTTTAGGAGATTATGGGGGCCACTGATGCGATTATAATCATGCTCTGCAATTTGTCAAGAATGACTGGTGCTTTCCAGTTTTGCTGCAATTTCTGCAACAATATTGTAATTCCAGGAGATTCTTACATTGACACAGATGCCCACAGTATTTTCAACTATAAAAATGAAAGGTAACACATCTATCTGAGTGCCTCCAGACTACGTCTCCATATGTTAAAACATTATGGTGTGTGAATCAATTATATGATTCTTTGATTTCTTACCAACAGGACAGAGTAGTGCAAACTAGAGAAATGGACATTTCAACCAAACCTGCTGCTCGGTTCAGCAAGGTATCACATCTCTGAAAAGTGTATCATGTACATTTCACATCCCTTTCTACCCTTCTGAACAGACGGCACATTTGCTGGATTGCTTCCAAAGCCACAAGGCATGTTTCTAAACAGTTTGCACAGTCATGCCATATGGTTCATGATGATTTTGTGGATGATGATTTGTTTTGCTGAATTATATTTTTGTTAAACTGTCACATGTTGACAATTATTTCAACTTAAATTATTCTAGAATGACATAATGTACCCTTGTGTTCTGTTATTTTACTTGCCCCAGGTCTTTTGCAGAAAAATGGATATTTTGATGAATATGTATTGTTCTAGAAACAGATTCTTTTCTAGGCAAGAAGTATCAAATTAGGCCCAGTAAGCTATACTCTTCCCCCTCAAAATTAGAAATCCTATGAATCTTACAATGTTATTTTTATAGATGTTCTCATATCTGTAATCACATTGTGTGTGTGTGTGTGTGTGTGTATAATCTTAGAGAGCATTATCTTGAGGAAAGACTAACTTAGGCTCTGGGAATAGTATATAGAATATTTATTTAGTTCAAAATCAATGAAACACACTTTAAAGTAAGCACTTACCACACAATTTAAAATATGTTTATGCAGTAACCTCCTACTGAGAGACACTGCCTATATAACAGGACATGGCATTCACACGCCCTAGATCACAAAGATAGTAGCTAAAAAAGAGCAAAAGAAAAAGACACTGATCTAACATTTGCTTGTGTGTCTCAGCTTTATAATCATGCTACTGACATAGTTTCCAGTTTGTGGATTTGTTGTTCTAAAATGGTGGGATATTTCTCTGTGGGATGAGGTGCTACAGATAAATTGTTTGTCCTACAGATGCAAGTGCCATAGAGAACAATTTAAGGCAAGTACTATTTATTCGCATAGATAAAATTCAGTAGTTAAGAGATCAAGGCAGTTTGTGGTATATAGCCCAGTTCCCAAGTGTCACATAAGGGTTTCTTATAGGAAGCATAAATCACCAAACCTAAGGGAAATAGGCTCTTGAGTCTTTAACAACTGAACAAAAAGAGGACATTTTAATGAAACATTTGTTCTGCAGGAAGAGCATTCTATATCTTCTTAAATAGTGTACTTTTCATTAAAGTTATTATATTTGCCATCATTACATAAGCCCATCTTTTAAAAATGCCTGTTTTATTACTGATTTATCATTTATTGATGTTGAAGATTGTGGCACTTCAGGATGTATTCCTTGTACAACAGTTTACAAAATATACTGGGCTGTTGCATAGCTCATTCATGGCTCCAAGTGCCAATGGATTGCTTTTGATTGTATTCCCCATTGTGTGTCTGCTTACTCTCTTGTAATCCCTTCCTCACTAATAAATGCAAATAGAAATTAGTTTATTATTTCCCTTCTAATTATTCCAATGATGTGGAAACCAGGAAAAAGGGAAGCTGAGGTAAAATCTTTAGGAGACAAACAAAAGCAGATGTGAAATGAGTTAGTCATTCAGTTACAGGCAGGCAAACAGCTACCTCAGCTTTTTGGTGATTACTCCAAAGGTGAGGGAAGGGGTAGGGAATGGGAAAAAGGAAAGTACAGTAGCAGTCATATAATTTCCCACTTAGCACCCACTTTGCTTAGCAATAGAGCGCTAGTTCCAATTGAAGTCATTAAGTTAGAAGTCCCTGTATTAGACTAGTGAGATTATTTATCAATGAGCTGATCATATGGAGATTCTCAGTCATCCAGGTCACGGTTGTCCCAACATCTGGAGGCAACTAGAGTTTCTTGATTTTCTTTGAAGATGTTTTGCTTCTCATCCAAGAACTTCTTTAGCATTGACTAGATGGTGGGTAATGGAAGGTTTTATATTCCTTACAGATAGCTGGTCATTTGCATTCTTTTAGACAGTCATTGATGCCACCTTATCTTATCTGTGTTATCAAGGTCATCTGAGTAGTCCAAATGGATGTGGAGCTTTCTTGGCTGCAGGATGTTTTCTGCCCTGTGTTCCTTCACTGTTGAAGACAGGTGCAGGATGTTGGGGATAAGTCTGTGTTGTCTTTATTTCAAACTGAAGAACAAATGGTTCCTGCAGTCTGCAATGTTTTCTTGAAATCCATTTATACTCCCACACCCTTTGAAAGGTGTTCATCCCAAAGTGCATAGCTAAATGTCTATGGAGATTCTCAGTCATCCTGGTCATGGTTGTCCCATAAATCCTTCCAATCCCCACCATCCTGTCAGAGTTGAAGAAGCTTCTTGGATGAGAAGCAAAACAAGAAACTCCAGTTGCTCCTGAAAAAGCCCCTTTGGGACAATGAGCTGATCCTAAGTTCCCAAATAGTTTTCCATTTAAGATATTTATAAAACCAGACCTTGTTAATTTTATATGGCATATAACCCATGTGTTCATGATTTCAGATCAACCAGAAAAACAGATGAATAGATTTATGATTAAAATCTATTCATCTATTTTTCTGGTTTATTTATTTATGGTAAAAAATAGATAAAAAGATTTATCATTGTGCATGGTTTTAAAATAGGACAAACTGTTTTTTTTCAAATGAGCCAAAAGTATTGTGTTGAAGTCAGTAAATAATGTCATTTGAAGAAAAGTAGTAATAAAGAGTGTTTTGCTTTCAAACAGCACATAAGCAGTAGAAGGCACAAAGACAGAGCTGCTGGGAAACCTCCGAAACCCAAATACAGTCCCTATAACAAACTCCAAAAAGGAACACACCCACTTGGGGTAAGCAAGTTTTGGACATAGTATTATTGATAATATAATTTGAACTACAATTCTAATAGTGTTATGGAACTCCATCTCTCTAGGTTAACTGACAACCCTTGAATAACCTTACATTTCCTTGATTGAAAATAAGCCACATCATAAGCTAGCCATTCCTCATCCTTCCCAGGTTAAATATATTTTTTCTTATGAAAAGGAACTAACCAGAAAGAAAGAGGGAAGGGGCAATGGAAAATGTTGTTTCAAGATAAAATATCCACCTGACTGTTGAGCTTTTCCAAGCATTCATTTGGAAACTCCAAGAATCTAATTAATTTGGGCAAGGGGTATTCAAAGCTTATCCAGCACTGATATGGAGAATGCAAAAGAAAAAAAAAGAGCTTGAGTAATTAAATAACCAGAATATAGTATTTGGATGAAAACTCCACTCACATAACAGACTGCTAGTGATACCACTCATATTTTCTAATCAGAATTATTTTCCACTGAATTATAGTGTTTACTCCAGGTAAATGAGTTCACAACCAGGAAACTGTGATTTGTTTGGTGTACTGTCTTTCCTTTGCATAGTCCTTTTTATGATACTGAAATTTTGCTCATATTTCTGTAGAAGAATGTTATTAAAAAATCAAATAAATAAGAAGAAATCAGTGTAATGATGGTTAACTATAAGAATAGGGTATGCAATTGTTTTTTCAGCAGAAGGCCAAATTCACTGTGTGCTAAAAAAAAAAAAAATAGCCAGAGGTGAAACAAATTGGGGGAAGTCAGAATAAAAACTCTATTTTATTAATTAACTAACTACTTAATTAAGGATAAGGACCATGTGCTTTGGAGAGTGGGAATGAATATTAATGTTTCACCTGAAGTCACATCTATATCACAAAGCAAGTGAAGCCCATGTTCATCCATCAGGATTGTTTTCCACTTTCTATAAGTGAAGCCAAGTGGCCCAGCTTGCTTCACGATTTTGCTTCAAGGGAATACATTGCTTATTAATATCTGTCTGTCTTTCTGTCTGTCTGTCTGTCTTTCATCTATCTATCTATTTTTATTCCACCTTTCTTATTTTTGTAAATAATTCATGGTGATGAACTTATAGAATATTCCTTCCTATTTTATCCACAACAAAAAGTCTATGAAGTGGGCTGGGCTGAGAGGGAGAGACTGACCCAAGATCTCCCAACTGGCTTTCATGCCTAAAGCAGGATTAGAATTTACAATCTCCTGGTTTCTAGCCTAGTGACTAAACTGGCTTCACTGAAAGCTTCATTGATGAAATCCCTCCTGAAATTTCATATGCTCTTAATAGAATTCTCATTCCATACATTATTTCCTTTGGTCACATAAAAAGTTATGTTTGGGAACATGATGGGATCTTGCATTTTGCACTTCTGCTGTTAAAAGACAGCTTGTTTGCAAAAAGTTAATAGGGAAATGGAGATAATTGAAAATGGGATAATTGAAAATGAACAGTGCATATTCTTTGCTTGTCCCAAATGAGAACCTTTTCATAGCAATTCATAAACATGCTTTGTTAGTATAAAATCTGTAAATGTTAATTATCAGAATATACTGAGTTTCTGATTCCTTATATATTCCTTATATTCCTTCTGTTGCTCTTGTTTACTTATTTTCATTTTTTAAATATTTTATTTTCCTTTAAGACCTTTGATTTATGTTTCCTTTTGCAATATAATCAAGTATATTAGATATTTTTTCATAAAAAATAATCTTCAGTGTTTGTGATTTGAACAAATAACATTCTTTGTTATGTTTTCCCTCCTTTTTCAGGTTAAACTTGTATTTTCAAAAGAAGTTGCAAAACCTGTAGCTCCACGGATACTCCCCAACCCACTGGCAGCTGCAGCAGCTGCTGCTGCTGTGGCTGTAAATTCCCCTTTCAGTCTTCGAACAGCCCCACCAGCTACTCTTTTTCAGACTTCTGCACTTCCTCCATCACTTCTTCGACCCGCCCCTGGACCTATACGGACGACCCACACACCTGTCCTGTTTGCTCCATATTGAACTCCATCAATGAATTAAATGTACTGCAATAATTTTTCAGAGCAAAAGCAAACAAGGACAATGACCTATGCAGTGTTAATGTATTGTGATTGAGATTTTATATATATATATATATATATATATATATATATATATATATATATATATATATATATATATATATATATACACACACACACACACACACACACACATACATACATACATACATACACACACACGTATGTATGTATTGATAGCGATCTTAATCAAGAAGGGAAAGTGATCACATATTCTTCCAATGAGAATCTTACAAGGTATCCCGCAACATTGATTGTGTGTGTGTGTGTGTGTGTGTGTGTGTGTGTTTGTGTGTATGCAAAATGAATATTCATATATGTAGTAAAAAATCTATGTGTATGTATACAAATACAAATACACATACACACACATATTAGTATTGAAGCAATTTTGATTGTGCTTTTTGGCACAGATCCTGCCTACAGAAACTTTATTGTTTATGAACAACTAAACAGAACTAAACTAAATAGAACAACTAAAGGGCATTAACTGGTTTCAATGTACATAAAATAATTCTTAGAGTAAAAGGGGGAAAGGAACAGAAGTACTGTGAACACTAGTACGCTTAATCAATTCTCCTGACAAGTCAGCATTTCCTTGATATTTATCTGATAAAAATAGATATAATAAATAAAATACTGCAACGTTCATAAACTGAGAAGACATAATTGACATCTTCCTTCTTTGGCAAGTTGCCACAATATTTGTAAGCCTAGGGAGGAATTTTTGGCTGTCACATTGCACACTTTTCCCCTGTGATACACCCTATTCACCACAGCAGAATGTACAATAGAGTAGACAAGCAAATTAAGAAGGCAATGGCAAGCACTTCTGCTTTGTTGTCAAGTAAAGCAAATTGGTAAACCAAACTATATAATTTCCAGGAGTTGAGTATGACTCAAAAGAGATTTTATTTACAGTAGATGTGGATAAGATTGCAAAATTGGCTTCTCTTTGAAATGCAAGACTTTTCAATCAGTTATATCCCCATTTCAGTAGAAACTCTAATCCTGAAAGCCCTTAGTTGCACATTTCGTTCTGAAGGGTTGCCTACCCATCTTGCCTCTTTGCTTCATCACAAGTGGCATTTAACATTTCTCTGTGCTTTAAATGTACTTGTAATATTAAAGAAATTGGATCTGATTGTTCAGGACAGAAGAAAAAGTTCTACTATAGATATATGTTCTTGCGTGCTCAACCTGATTAGGTTTGGGAGACCCAACGTGGCATCTGTGTTATTTGTATCAACCAATCAAAGTACAGGCAGGAGAAATTGATCTTAGTCCATAGTCCAGCAGGTAAAGGAATCAAGGTCCATAACAAGTGATGTAATCTGGCAGTGTTAAGGCAGGGATATATGTATCAACACTACAATTATCTTAAATAGCCCAGTAGTGATCTGAGCTCCTAACATTCTCATGAAACAAGTCACAGATTTCCTTTTCCTTGAGCCAACACTCAATGCTAGCAGTTGCTTTTCACATCACTGAAATGCCATGTCTCCACTTTCTGGAATTTCAAGTTTGCCAAAGTAAAAGAATATTTTGAAATATTCTATGGGAAAAAGTAATACATCTAAAATCAAGTTAAGACTTTAAAATGGATAATGTCATAACAGAAGATATTAGATATTTCAGCAAACTGTGGTAAAAATGATGATTAGACAATGAATAGGTCACAGGATTGGTTATAGAACAAACAAAAGAAACACAGAACATAAAAGATTTGCGAAGAAGTTTGTTTATGTCACATATAGAGATCGTGGTAATAATAAAGTACATTGCTACTGTTGGGATCTAATATAAATCTAAGTTATATTTTATCAGAAAGCCATACTATGTGGACAGATGCAAACCATGGACCAGAAACTTTGCATCTGTCTTATTATCATAACCTTTTACCCTTTATGCCATCTTACAGACCTACTGAAAGGAAAGTCTTTTTGATATGGGATTGTAACCTTAAAGCTGTACGTTCACTGTAAGGCATTAAAAAAATGAAATATTAGAAATCTATAGAGCTATATTGTATATATGTTAGAATTCAAAATAATTTATGAAGAGTAAACTATATGAAATAATTAAATTGAGCCATTCGTTTTTAGAAAAGGGTTATGAAACAGTTGGCAAGAAGTAGCAGAGAGGATGGGAAAGAAATGTACCTCTTCTGAATCTCTGATATTGCTACTGACATTTTATTGAAGAAATTAAATGGTCAGCTGCTCATTTAGAAGCAGCCATTCTGCTATACAATTATGATGCTCACAAGTAGATTTTAGCAAATAGACCACATTTTAAGTTGGTGGAGAGTGGAAGCTTAAAGATTATTCATGAAATACTAGCTATATAAAAGCAATCTTAATAAATTCACCATATTCCTATGTTGTATAGTATCAGTAGTTATTATTTTTATTTTCTGTAATTGTTAGCATACACAGATAAACACCCCATTTAGTACACTAGGCCAGGCAACAGTTCAGCTTTAAAAGGAAAATAATTAGGGAGGAACATTCTCCTTGAATCAGTCTGCTACTCATTAAAACAGCTGTTTCTGTTTCTGGGGTCATGCAGCTACTTTTTCACAACTGTTGGGTTGTTGCTGTCCTTAGCATTTGTCCCACTTATTTGGCAGAGTAAGCTTGTTTTGCATTACATTCACTGCAGTCCGGATGTTGATTTAGGAGACAAAGGGTACTCTAAGGCTTCTAAACTGGTGCCAATGGTAGCCTATTAATCACTATACCTCATGCCATCCTTTTGAAGTAGCCCAGACAAAAAGCACCAATCAAGAGTAATCATATTTAATACTACCTTTGTTGTAAGGTTACAGGAAGTCTGAAGGGATCTTTACCCTCCCTTACTTTATACTTCTAAAACTACAGAGTCCTTTCTGAGATGTTTTCATCATCCTCACCCATCATCCTTCCAATTCATATTTTATTTATAGGAACACTGCCTAGGCTGCTGCCCTTCTTACTGTCTCCCAAGCTTATTCCCTAATATCATTATACTACACTAGTTCTATTCGCAGTTTGCTATGTGATACTAAGAAAAGGCTTGAAGAATTGTTGACAAATATCACATATATAGCTTTAATTTTTCTTTCCAAATCTGAAACTGCATACCCCTAATTAGTAGCGTGATGGTTGGTTTTAGAAAAGCTGGTCTGTCTGTCTCTCTCTCTCTCTCTCTCTCTCTCTCTCTCTCTCTCTCTCTCTCTCTCTCTCTCTCTCTCTCTCTCTCTCTCTCTCTCTCCCTCTCTCTCTCTCTCTCTCTCTCTCTCTCTCTCTCTTTCTCTCTCTCTCTCTCTCTGTGTGTGTGTGTGTATAGATTCTTTTAAGTCTAGATGGAAAATTCCAGAAAAAGTTTGAAAAGGAAAAGAACTTAAGTTCCTGTGGGATTTCCAGATTCAGACAGAGGCAGATACTGGCTAATCAATCAGATGGTAGTAGACAAAGACCAAAAGACAGCAGATAGATGTCACTGCCAATTGATAGCAACATCAGGAAAAAGGAGTATGACAAACTGGAAAAGTATCAGGGTCTGAATGAGGAACTGGGGTGAATGTGGAAAGTAAAAGCCAAAGTGGTCCCAATAGTGGTAGGAGCATTTGCAGAAGGATTTCTTCCATTCTTAGTAGAGCATGGAGATCACTTCTTACATTGTTATAGAGCAGGGGTGTGACACTCGCTGCATCATATGACGTGTCACAACATATCATGACTTTTTTTCCCTTGCCGGAGCTGGGGTGGGTGCAACTTCTGCGTGATGCATCCGGCCCATGGGCCGGCAGTTTGACACCACTGTTATAGAGGAACTCCCAGTCCTCTGGAACAGATTTTTGTAAGTTGAAAGGCTGTAGGAGAAAGAAGGAGATAAGAGAATAGATCATTCCATGAGCAGATTTCTATGGCCGAAATTCTCTATCCAATCCAAATATGTGCCTCTAAACTTCAAAGTGACATGCATTTCTTCAATTCTTATTTTCCAAGAGAACTCCAATAGATTTATTTATAAATATTTCACTTCTGTTATTTGCAACTGTTTGTGCCTTGAAGTTATGTTTACCAGTCTTATACCACATATACAATATGAAGTCAAGGATGTCTGTTTATTTGTGGTTTTTATGTTCTTTCTTTAGGAAGATTGTTCAAGATTGTAATAATAAGTTTAACATTATATTTAAAAATTCATTTTCCAGGTTGCTGAATTAGTCAGTGGTCAGATTTATTGCTATGGAATAATAATATTGAAATTTTATTTTTGGAAATGAACGTGTAAGAAAAAAATGTATGAATGTGAATACACATACCTGCCTCTGATCATATTAATTCACACAGAGACAGGGAATATGTAAGCTTCAAGATATTCAATTGTGTCTCGTCATATCCCATCGCTATATTGGCCAGGGTCAGTGAGAAATGAGGGTATTCAACATTTGGAGGAAGATTGTAATTAGTGTAACTAGATCTGGACTTTAAAACTCTTACAAACCACTTAATATAATTAATTGATACAAACATTCTTAACTTTTTGCTTCCAGCTAGTGATTGCCTAGATCAGGGGTGTCAAATTGGTGGCCTGCAGGCCGGATGTGTCATGTGCAAGCCATGCCCACCCCGGCTCTGCAAAGGCAAAAAATATGTCACGATCCATCACGTCATACAATCAAGTTTGATGCCCATGGCCTAGATCTTTGCAGGTCAAATAATCACATATTTATCCTTAAATTAAACCATTAAAATAAGACCTCAACACAATCTTCTCCAAGCTTCTAGTTGTGTCAGTTTTTCAGTTTTCAATATAGCTAGTTAAAAGTGCAGTCATTTGGAAGAAATCACATTACAGAATGGCCTTGAAGATTCATCTGAATCTAAAATTGAATTTAATCTTAATGTATAGAAATGCTCACTACAAAAGTAGTTACCATATATCTCTAAATATTTTCCAAGTGTTACTAGGAAGATGGAACAGGAGATAACCATTAACGTGTATGGTGGTTATATATAGTAACTATAGAAATATTTTCT